TAGGAAAGGCGGTAAAAGTTTCCATTGTATCACTTTTCTCATACCATGTCTATCGTCATTTGACACCTACATTGACACTTACATTAAACTGCGAATCACTTGCGTCACCCATGTGTGAATAGTTGGCGGCGAGGCGAGATCGATGCTACTTGAAGTCGCAGCAGCTAGCTAACAACGGGCTTTCTCCTAAATCAGTAATTACAGTGTCCATGGTGGCGAATAAACTACACTTCTGACAAGGATTATGAGGAGTGATTAATAGAGGGAAAGATGTAATTGCTGAGCTAACTAAATGTTGTGAAAGATGAGAATTCATTCATATTTTACAAACAAAATAATGAAAAGAATACTGTGTTTAGATTAACATTATTGTCAGGAATATTTTTGCCCTTTTAATAACTATATGGTACTAAATTTAGTGTACTATAGGAATCTTTTCGAAAGATGTCCAAGATGAACAATTTTTGTAAGTCCTTATGGACATGCCTAGAATAAAGACATTGCGTTGTCACTTAAAATGCCTCGTAAGGTGTATTAGTAAGATTGTACCGGTTTCTTAGATCTCAAAAAGTAAGACTTTAATTGCCTTACATTTCATTATGCATCAGTCCAAACAATGCTGTTTTATATGTCCGCTTTTTGATCAGGAAATCCAAGCCACTTGGTATGAGAAGCTCCATGAGTGGGAAGATGCTCTGGTGGCATACGATAAGAAGATTGACATGAACAAAGAGGATCCAGAGCTCATCCTGGGCAGAATGCGCTGCTTAGAGGCCCTGGGAGAATGGTATGTGATTATGTATACATGGAGTTTGACATCTGAATTGCCATTCTCTTTCTAGTCTAGCCTTTCAGCTGTGTGCATAACCGTGAATTCATCAGCTACTGTATATCCTCCTTGTTAGATGCTTTTAGTTGAGGGTTTTTTTTTCCCTATGTAGGAGAATGAGTTAGTCAATGTAGTGTGAATACATTAATTATGCCTGGGATCGCTGGATTAGGAGACTTTTCCAAATCTCCTGACAAAAATCCTTTTGATGGGGGTGAAAAGATTGAAACAAGGTTCCTTTGAGTTGACTGAAGTAATTCAATCCGGAAAGAATGAAGAGACGGCCAACTCCAGTTAGAGGTGCAGCCACTCTACTGAAGGCTTACCATAGCGACAGCTCACCCTCAAAGAGCATTCTTGGGGGGGAAAAAGTCAGTAATGTCCAAAAGATCCAAATGCTGTATGTGGATAGTTGTCGAAATTCAGACACTAAACAGATGGCTATCTACTTATGTAACTGTCTTGTGTGATTGTTGTCAATGGTGTCATTTTGGTAAATGATATGATATTTATTTTGCAACAAAATGATTTTGCTGAGGTTGGAGTTTGGGAGAACCTGAAGAGTCTGAAGATTATGTAATATTTGAAAGGGTTATGAGTCGATGAGGATCGGATTTTGGAGAACACATAGTTGCCTGTCAGGTTAATAATAATAATTTGAGAAAGCGTTTTTTTCCTAAGGTAGAAATAGAACATGTTAAGGTTGTGCTATCGGCACGTTACGAGACATTTAGGGTTCCTATAGATGAAAGCAAGGCAATTTAAGATGAGTTTTAGTCCCTTGAACATGGCACACTGTTGTCAGGAAAATAAATTTATTTATTTTGGATCAAATGTATGCAGAATATGTACTTGTAATTGTAGAATGTTGATGCAGTTCCTGCCGGGTGGCGAATGTTTACATCTCCCATCCAAAACACCAAGGCATCTTATTTGGGAAGTTCCAGCAACAATCTGATGTCACTCTTCCAATGTCTCCCAATGCCCTGAAAAATTAGGAAATGCAATGTAAATTACATGAAGGCTAATTTGAAAGTCAATAGTTGGGAATTACTGTATTGATGAATCCACAGAAGACAATACGGTTTGTTTGTCGTTCCCATACCGAAGGAAAGACGACAACAATATTGCAAGATATGATTCAACTTCTAATGAAAAGAAAAACCCACAATGGTCACAGAAATATCTTGAATCAGACATAAGTAACAATAAATATAAATCTAATGAAAATTAAAGAGTGAAAATCAGTCATCACTTATTAATTGTGGTTCAACAGGATTATTGAAAAAAAAAAAAACTCCTGTCACAGGTCTGGACAAAAGGGTAAAAAGAAGGGTACCAACGATTTTGTCCATGTGTCTATGACTGCCGGCTAGGCTGGAAACTTATTCTCGTGGAAGAGGCTCTGGAGAGGGAATTCTGGGCTTCTTTACTCAGGCTGCTGCCCCCATGACTCGATTCAGATTAGCATGGGTGGGTGGGTAGACAGATGGTTTAGAGAAGTTTGCGCCGTTAGCAGCTTCAATGAATCAAGTGAATTCAAACAAGGGTTAAGTTTGACACTAATAAGTGGTTGTAAGGTATACGTTGTTAATCTGACTCACGATAATATTTTAACCTTTAACACAATAACTCATCTCAAGCACTTCCTTGCCTCTACAATATTGCTACACATTGTATTGGAAGCTGTGTGTGCTTGCATCTTGCACACATTAGTCAGTTGTAGACTGGCTTCACTTGGTTTCCAAACCTCCTTCATGCTCTTGGTTTTTGTGCATCCTTCTATTTCTCATTCTCTTTCAAGCCCACTCCAGCTGACTTCCCGTATAAGATGATGTGAGGATTTGGTCTCCTGTAGGACAGTCCGTCCAGCTCTGATTGTTCATAATGAATTGTGTGTGTGTGTGTGTGTGTGTGTGTGTGTGTGTGTGTGTGTGTGTGTGTGTGTGTGTGTGTAATGTCCTGCTACATAGAAGAAAAATGTTTTGTGGATTGTAGAGCAATAGGTCATTTATTTGCTAAGGTACTTCATGTTGTCAAGCTTTTATTGAAAGTTGTTTTCATCTGAAATGCAAATTTTTAAAGAGCAATATATGAATGAATATTTGAAATGTTAAAAAAAAAAAAAACTTCTAATTTCTTTTACTTCCAAGTGTCAGTCCTTTGTTATTAAATGTTAGTCAACAAAAGAAACTGTGATATATTTTGTAATGATTTTAGTAAACCTTTATAACACACATTTCTTTTTTTTAATTATCTGTATTTACTGTAGTCAATGTGTAAGCACGATAAAGTGTATTGTCAGTTCATATCTAAATTATAAATGGAATGCGGCATGTTGAAGCATGTGGCTAGCACATTTGCCTCACAGTGGTTCCTGGCTCAAATACATCCAATTTGTCGGATCGACACTAAAATGGGTTCTTCCTTGGCCCATTTCCCACCCGTCGCCGAATCTTTGTTTGGAGGTAACTTGGCAGACCTCCACCATGACTGAGCAATCCAATTTAACAGTCGTGATGTGTTTTGAATTTTACACTGAGATCCACACACTCTTCAAGGCAACATTGAGGAAAATCGTTGCGGTGCTCGCCGCAGTTTTAAAAATTACTGCATCTGATGTATCTGATATAACAAACATTAGAGGCGTAGCATTACAATTCCAACCCCCCTTTCACCATTTTCCAAATAGCGTGACCTTGGAAGGAAAAAGAATGTTTAGGTTTTGCTGTATTTTTCTTCTATATGCACACTTAGAGCCCATGCTGATTCTTTTTTAGGGGTCAGTTGCACCAACAGTGCTGTGAGGAGTGGACTCTCGTCAGTGAAGAAACCCAGGCCAAGATGGCTCGTATGGCTGCTGCGGCCGCTTGGGGACTTGGTAACTCAGATACTTTTTAATCTCACGAACATTAACTCAGATACTTTTTAATCTCACGAACATTAACTCGAGCAAAAATCACTTGAGGAGCACTTTTTTTGTAAATTGAATACATTTAGAGCTGCATACCTTTTGGCAAATGGGCGGCCGAAGGATGCAATGGATGACTGTGAAATATAAACAATCGCATCCTCGCATGACATGGAAGTGGCCAACCACAACATTGACATAATATATAATGGCGGAGGAAAAACGTACCACAGTCAGAGCGCATCGCCTGAGATTTGTGGTCTGTGGCTTTGCCTTGGACCAGCAAAGCTCTCTATATGAAGACTGTCTTGACAGCGTATCACTGACAAGTCATGTTTGGGGTCCTTGTTATGTAAATCGGGGTCACCTACGGTGAAACGGTCATTGAGCGTTTGATTGTTTTTCCTTCAGGACACTGGGACAGCATGGAAGAATACACATGCATGATCCCCAGAGACACGCATGATGGTGCCTTCTATAGGGCAGTGCTCGCCCTGCATCAGGACCTGTTCTCGTTAGCTCAGCAGGTATGTTATGTCATCATCTTTGAAATACACCCAAAGGAGCAAACGTCTAACCCCCCGTTTACTGTACAGTACATTAAGGCTGTATTTTTAGAAAAGCCAAAGACATGCCATGGGAATGCACAATAGCCTCACTGTTTCTGGAATTTCCATTAGGCTTTTCAGCAAGCCATTGAACGTTTACCTCAGTGGACAACCTACTTCAAAGGAATAAAAAATGTCTAGGAATATTCCAGACTCAAAATATCAAATTTCCTCATTGCCTCATTATGTTCGTTTTTTTTTTTTTTTTTTTTTTTAAATAAAGTGATACCTATATGGTGTTGAAATGTTATGTAACTGCCCTTTGAAGCATTCAATCACAATTTTCAGGTTCACGTACTTTAGAGCCTGACCCTGTCTGCGGGATGGGATGAGGTAGAAGATAAAATACAATAAGAGTCCTCTTTTTGCCATGCAAAGTAACAGCAACATGCTGTACATAAGTGGAATAGACATATCCACTCGGGCTACGATGATGGAGTGAAGGGGCTACAGTGTTTCAGCAGAGCAGAGCAGTGCAGGATTTGGTGCGGTACCAAATGCAAGGGGCACGCACCTCTTTACCAAAACACTAATCAACCAGAAACCCATGAAGGGTCAAGGTCACAGACGATAACGAAATGATTTACCTTTCATGACATTTTTCATGATGCCCCATCTTCAAATGGCAACTGTGTAGAAAATGCACGTTATTCTAATTCCAAATCAATCCAATTTGTATTAGCACTACTTATATAATGTACCGGTAGTTAAGTAAAATAAGCAAATTTAATTGGGCTGGAGTCTGCCCTGAGATACCTTTACTAAAACCACCAAGTAAGGTTATCAAGTAAAAGCCCGCTGGCTTAAATTTAATTTGTCTGACTGCATTATCGTTCTTTTTAGTCTCACAATGCATCACAAGCGCTATCCAATCAGGTTGTGACTTTATGTATCGGGATATGATGTTTACTGGTCAATGTTTGATCCAATGATAGAAAGGCCTGTTTGAACACTAAACCAGGGCCAGATGTGCTTTTCAAAACGTTTTTTTTTTTGTGTGAACACAGCTTTAAATGCTGCTCTTTATCACCCTATTTCGTATGATACTTGGTAAATCACACGGTTTTATGTACGTATTTGTATTATCTTGGAACTGCGGCCTTGTAGTTCTTAGTCTCTATCCTGAGAACAAGCCCTTGATGCAAATGAGCAGATCTTACTGGAATAGGTCATCAAGAGTTTTAATGAACACAAGCTTCACCACTGACACCTGTTCCTCTGCTGTCCTGGGATTGATCCACCACGTCCCCTAAACACTCCGAAAGCCCCAAGGCTTGCTCTCTGTGCTCCCCACCTCACCCCCTCTAAAGCCGAGATTAGATCCAGGTGTGGCCTATCGGATATGGCGTCCGATGAATAGGGAAAGCAGCCGTTTTACTCTTACAGGCCATTCAAAATGAATAATGAGCAATGAAAAGCAGATGGAGCACGGTTGAAAGATGAAATGTCAACATGAGCTCAGTCTAGTCTTGCGGATGTGGTTCTTAATCCTCACACTTAAATTTGTTTGATTTCATATGGGCTGGTTGTTTTGCCGCTCAAGCAGACACGCAGACATGTGCGCGCCGAATCCCAGAGGGCTTCTGTGTCTGTGAATAGTTTGAGGCGGCTTTGTAAATTGTTTGTTCCAGCAGTAATGCATAGCCACAGCAATCCAGGGAAGCAGTCTTCTGTAACAATACCGATGCTATAAGCGGCCTTCTACCATGTATTTATTTAATGTTTACATGTTTTCATCTTTTTTGGGACAGACAGTCTCTAACAGGGCAATTTATTCCAAACCATTCGTATAGCATCATACATACCATGCTTTAATGGTATAGTCATGTCAATGGAGTCACGCAAATGCATATAAGACTAATATTTAAGGAGGAGAATAAATGGGCTCATCGTGTTTGCCTTGCATTAGAGCCAGACACTGCATTTATCAGGAGCCGTCTGTCTAACACAAGTCCAATGATGGCATTCTGGTGTCAACAAAACTATGAAGAAAAAAAGCCTCATTGTCACCTTTTCCCTCTCACAGTCTCTCTTTTTGTTGTGCATGCCTGCGCAGGTGTTTTGGGACATACGTCTTCCTTTCCCTGCCTGTGAAAAATAATTGCTGGTAGTTGGTCTGAAACAGCTGTTTGGCCTGGCTTGTGAGAAGTTCCTCAGTCACCGGCCATCATTTTACCCTTTTTTTTAGTGACAGCTCCAGAAAACAGGACTCTTACAGACAACAGATGAGTATTTAATATGAAGGAATGCCTTGCTTTGGGTTATGAGCATCTTATGAATACCACACTTCTTAAAAGTTGACTAAACTTGGATTTGTGGCTGCAGCTGAAGAAATTAGTTTGTGACCAAATAAAAAATGACATTGTTGATTCCCACAATGATTTATGGATAATTGTTAGCATCTTAAAGCCATTGTTGACTACAAAGGCAATGTTTTCATAACATTTTGAGAAACTGTCATGCGAGTGTAAAATTAAGTTAATCACACATAAATCAAAGCATTAAACCTCACTGACATAAGTAAATACAAAGTTGGTTCATATCACTCATATGCCTCCCACATTTAAAAAAATATTCTAATGACTGACATAAGTGTAACAATAGATTAACCATCATTCAAACTGAGTTAATCCTCTGATGCTCACTAAATTATGGTCTTCCACAATAGTGACATAATGCGTAGCAGTGGTTGGAACTCAGATCTGTGGTCCATATTTCTCGTATTTTTTTTTTTTAACTCAGCACGCAAGGCAGCGTGTGGATTGCTTTCAACAGTTCATTTTATATAACACTTGGCACTCAACAGTTCATCAAACTGCTTTGCCGTATGCACTGGCCTAAGTTTTAGTCACACTTCTGTATCACTTTTGGCAGTGCTTGCGAACAATGATGCAGTAAGCCAGTGACTATATTGTATTTTAACATGGCTGTTGCCTGCTACCAGCTGCTTTTGATTCAATATTACATTTTAATAGAATCAGTAACCAGTCCATCTTTTGAAATAATTCAGAATCCTATTCGTAGACAGACATCAGGCTTACTTTTCACTGGCTCTGCAGATCCAGCCAAACAGATTTAAAATAACGATGCATTTTTTTTTTTTTTGTCTGAGAGCATTGTTGTCAACATCCAATCTGTAATTATAATGTATTTGTTTTGCAGTGCATTGACAAAGCGAGAGACCTCCTTGATGCTGAACTGACAGCCATGGCTGGAGAGAGCTACAGTCGAGCCTATGGGGTACAGTGAAATACATTTTATCCCTATTGCAACTTCTATGAATTTCTGTTGGTGTGTGAAGAGCGACTATGAGATATTTCAGAAATGTTCAGGACTGGTGTCATAAGAGATGTATTTCAAACCTCAACTCCAAAATTGGAGTTTTCCTCTGCACCGAGGACCAGACAGTCAATCAGTACATCCACAAAGAGATCCTGTGGCGTTCGCCTCGTTTAGTGTGGAAGATGAGGCGAGAGTTGTGGTGGGACAACTTGTGATTGCTGCATGACAACACGTCTGCTTACAATGCCTCCAGCATCCGACGTTTACTAGCCAAGATGAACATCACCATGAATGGAGCAAGCTCCCTTCTCACCCAACTTGGCTACATCTGATTTTTGTGATGTTTTTTCCTCTTTCGAAGCTGAAGGAAGCCATCATCAGGACCCATTTTGAAAATGTAGATCACATCAAGATGGCTCTGAAGATGTGGAGGATCTCTGAAGAATCCTATCATGAGACATGATATAGAAGGCTGGGAAAGTGCTTTAGACTCCAGAGGAATTACTTCAAAGAGAAAAACATGTCGTTTGGAATTTAGATTTAGCGGCACCTTGGATACCCGACTTACAAGATTTTCAAGATACAAGCTGTCATCAGCTGACTTTTTTTTTTTTATGTCCTTTGACTTGCGAGCGTGAACTTGAGATTTAATAATATTAATAACGATGATAAATAGGCATCAGATTTTGAGGTACATATTGAGTGAATGGTAAATCAAGTTACCATTTAACATTACTCTATTTAACATGACAAAAGTCATTTCAGCCTTACTCTGTGAGCTAAATTGCTATAGTCAACTTTAAGAGAACAGTAGGTCGAACCACAATGTAGGGGAAAAAAAAAGGTCCAGCAGTTTAAAATGATCACCCACAAGGTAGTTGGTGTGATTGACATATTTACTTTAAATTCCTAGAACAGCTCATTTCAATTAGTAGCAGACTAATTATTCACCTGGCTAATTGCTGTCATCTCAGCTCAAGACAGAGTTCACATGCAACATAACCTTAATCCGTAAATCATCCATCCATCCATTGTCAACATATGAAAATATATTAAGCACAGACCAGAGAATTATAATTTTTATGATACAGGTTGACCACAAATCCCTGTCATATAATTCTTAATTTTAAGTGCCGCCCCCCCAAAAAAATCTAAGCAGACTCTGTGGTAAGCGTTTAATGCTTGCTTGTGATTTAAAAGGCCGATTTTTCCACAAATATATTGAATAAAATACATGACCGCAGGGGCGTGCAGCTTCTGGAGAAATTTCACAATGTCTTGTGCATTTCTAAAAAGCTGATATATGAGTAACTGGTAATAACCATGTCCTTGCGAGGGCTACACAAGTCTCTTGTATTGTACATGTATGAGATTTTGTCCCCATAAATTGAAATGATTCAACCAAAACAATCGTGCTCATGTGTTTCCCAGGCAATGGTGTCGTGCCAGATGCTGTCAGAGCTGGAGGAGGTGATCCAGTACAAGCTTGTGCCCGAGAGGAGGGACATCATTCGGGAAACATGGTGGGAGAGGCTTCAGGTAACCTCAGCCCTTCAATATGATGTATCGGAGCGCGCGCGCGCACGCACGCACGCACGCACGCACGCACGCACGCACGCACGCACGCACGCACACACACACACACACACACACACACACACACACTCTCACATGTGAAAGCTCAAATGCATCTTAAAGCAGATGTTGAAAAGGCTACTGTGGCTCAAGGGCGGCATTGTATGCCAAACATCATACAGTTGGTGCACACAAGGATACATGAGTAGTTTCCCAGCAAAGCCTTATAGTCTCTCGGAAAGCATGGAAAGTTCCTCTGTCTCCAAATCTGACTTTTGCTAAACAAGTCTATACGCCTACTAGTTTTAAATATTACAGCATTGGAATATATATATAAAATACACACACAGACTTCCAAGATCCTTCCTGTTAAGGATGAGTGTTTAACAAAATGTCCTTGATTTTGTGTGGGAGAAATTAACAGTCTATTAGGGCTAGGGCAGTAGTTCTTAACCTTATTAGAGGTGCGGAACGCAACCAGTTAATATGCACATTAACCGAACCCTTCATTAGTGAAAAATAAAGATGTATATTTTCTTCTTTTTTTTTTTTTTTTTACAAACTGAAGATATATTAAAAAACACATTTATTAAAAACAGAAAGAAGTAAATGAAATTTCAAGGGATAAGTATGCTTTTTTTTTTTTTTTTTTTTTTTTTTAATTGAACGACGTAATGTCACGACAGTCACACGTTGACTACGAAGCGAATTAAATTTCCCACAGCACTGATTGGACAAGCAATGTAATGTGATCATCTGCAGCGTGTCATAACTAATTGACATGTTGAGTCCGGTGTTTCTTAACCTCCATGGCAGAGGCTCCGTCGAACCCCTGAGACCAATTCACCGAACCCCTAGGGTTCGATCGAACCCAGGTTAAAAACCACTGGGCTAGGGGAAAAAAGTTGACCAGTTCGACCAAGTCACTCACCAAAAATGGTCAATGCAAAATGATTTGTCTGAGGCATTGCACCATTGTACGCCATCCACGCAAATATTTCCATTTTTAAACCCCTCATGTCTTTTATAAAGTCTACTAGAGCACTCTCTTGGCAGGAATTTTACCCTGCAATCAGTTAGTTTCCACTGTTAGGGCACGACAGTGATTATATTTTTGGCAGTTTTTACACCGGATGCCCTTCCTGATGCATCACGCTTGTTTTTATCCAGATTTTGTACAGGTTAACACAGGCAGTGGCTTGGAATTAGGGTGTAGCATACCCATTAGGATGTTGGCGTTGGTGACTGCGCTTTGAAGCGCTGTCCCCTGTGGGAAAGGCAGGAATCAACTGCTGCAAAGTAACGTGGTTTTAATCTACCATCGCTAGTTAAAGCATAATCAGCATCATATTCATAAATAAGTATCAAAAAATATATAATATTTAAATTGTAATACACTTTTCAACTATATGCCGAGCCCTAGTTTTTCACATTTGGTAAAGGAATAATAACATTATGTGCGTTGGAGTTTGAATGTGTCTCTTGACAAAAGATGGCTCCTCACCTCACCAACTTCAAAATGAAAAGCAGCGCGTTTCATTTCTGTCTATCCATTTTCTTCCCACGGTTCGAAATGGCACCTGGCAAATTCCTTTCGGTGACTTTTCAAAGCTTTCAGACTTGACAGTTGGAAAGAAAGCATTTCCAGACGCACTGAATTCCTGTCTCTGTAAAATGATGGTACTCTTGATCAGTCTGACTTTTTTTTTTTCTTTCCCATTTGTAAAAGATGAGATTTGCTTTAGGGTCTCGTGATGGCCACGCAGAGCAAACACACTGACCTTATAATGCCAACAACAGCAGTGACGGCCTTTTTTTTTCCTCTCATAACAATTAATTTGGGACTGATGTCACTCCTCTGTCAAAGGGTCCCTGTCCTACTCATCAACTATGGAATTTATATTATTTTATATTCAAGTAACGTGTGTGTGCCTTAACCTTCAGTTGACTATCATGCATTACTGTTTTTCCAGACATTTCTCTCTGTCAAATGGACTCAAAATATTCAAAATTGAGATCCCCTCAGAAACTGTTCCGCAGAAAGATTTTTGCCCGTCGTTAAAATGAAGTGAAATATTGTCATCGCTTTACTGCAAGACTTAAAATATTGAGTTACACCATTTTGCTCTTTCATGCAAAAAAATAAATAAATAAATTATAATATTGCCTTCCTCATGTAAATCATGTCGGAGCAGAGGATGCCAACGAAAGTTCTTGAAAATACATAAAAGTTGACCTATATATCTGTTTATTGTACTGGCACGTGGAACTTGACGTGTTTGTGTGTGTGTGTGTGTGTGTGTGTGTGTGTGTGTGTGTGTGTGTGTGTGTGTGTGTGTGTGTTGTTGTGTCTATAATGGCAATGATTTCATCCAGGGCTTTAACTATATAGCTCTATTCTGTACAATATCATGAGTAGGTGCCAAACTTCTTTTCAAAAGAGCATTTTATATGTGCTTTTTGTGTGTGCGTGTTTTTTTTCTCTCAGGGTTGTCAGCGTATCGTGGAGGATTGGCAAAGGATTCTAATGGTCAGGTCACTGGTGATCAGCCCCCATGAGGATATGAGGACGTGGTTGAAATATGCCAGCCTCTGTGGCAAGAGTGGACGTCTGGTAAGCAGCCGCATCATTCCTTAGTGTGTACTCATATTCAACTTCAAAAAATATACCGGTAGATTTATTCGTCACAAACAATGGAAGACCGAAACCCTCACTTGGTTGGTTTTGCAGTATGCTTCATTCAGGTCATTGTCCATCTGCATTTTGATGCACTGTCCAATAAGTTCTGAAGCATTTGGCTGAATATGAGCGGAAAGCATTGCCCAAAACACACTTGAGAATTAAACCTGGCACTTTTGTCAGTAGTCACATCATCAGGAAATACAAAGGAGCCAGTACCATGGCAGTCATACATGCCAACGCCGTGACACTTATCACCACCATGCTTCACTGATGAGATGGTATGCTTTGGATCTTGAGCAGTTCTTTTTTGTCTTTTGTCTTACCATCACTCTCACGCAAGCTGATCTTCGTCTCAACTGGCCACACGATGGTGTTTCAGAATTATATAGGTTTTTTATTATTTTTTTGTTTTTAAAGACGTTTGGCAAGCCCTAATCTGACCTTTCTGTTTTTGAGGCTTTATATCTTGTATTTAACCTTCTGTATTGACTCTGATGAAGTCTTCTCTTGATTGTTGGCTTTGACACATACATCTATCTACCTGGAGACAGTTCTTGACTTCTGTGGCCAATGGTTGTAAAGGTTTTTTTTTGGGTTGGGTTTTTTTTTCTTCAACAGGGAAAGAATTCTTCGGCCATGCACCACAGTCTTTTTCTGTGCATTCTTTTTTCAAAGAATTTTCCGAACAGTTCATGTGGCCAACTCTAATGTTTTTGCTCACTCTATGATGGGCTTGTTTGGATTTTTCAGCATAATGATGACTTGCTCACTCATGGTGAGAGGTCTTTCGATCCGAGCCAGTTGACAGCAGCAGATTTTGTACTGAAATTTTGAACTTTTATCTGCTCCTTGTAAACGGCATAATGAGGAAATAACATGCACCTGGCCATGGAGCAGCTGAGCATACAATTGTCCCATTACTTTTGTCCCTGAAAAAGTATAATTCTGTTGCAATTCCTACACCATAACACCATTCACTTGGTTTGCATTTGCAGTAAATACCCTCAAATTAAATCTGAAAGTCTGCAGTTAAAGCAGATCTTGTTTACTTTGATTCAAATCCATTGTGATGGCTTTAGTGCTAAAAAAAAAAATATGAGCACTATGTTGGACGTGATTGCATCTGAACTGGGGCACAGTTAGAAACGCACTTGTTCCCTGTAGTGTAAATCTGTGCTGGATTTGCTACGTGATGTCATTTTTATCAAAGTAGCCATGCTTGGCCTCGGGTCCATCAAACTGAACTTCACTCAGCCAACTATCCCACCCCCCACACCCCACAACATTAAAACACATAAATTACATCCACCTCTGTTAGTCTCATTGATTGCAAAGCATTGCAGACAATCAGCTTCACACGCACACACACACACACACACGCACACACACGCACACACACACACACACACACACACACACACACACACACACACATAATGCTTGAATGACTAACGGTGATGTAACTGAAAGTGAAAGCAATGGCAAGCATATTGGAGAAAGTGAAGACATGGTTTGGGGGGGAAGAAAAAAAAACCTTCTCGGACTGGTCTTTTTCTCCTTTTTACCTTCTTTGCTTCCCAAAATCATCTTAATAACTTCTTCCTGCCGACTTCAGTAAACGTGTGTCATGACAGTTATATAATGAAGGTCTGTGAGGTCTCAAGGCCTATAAGTTTTTCCAAAATGACAGAATGTCATCATCGGGTGTCTGCCTCGATGGTCCGTCAACTTGCTGACGCTGCTCTTCATTCCGCCGTGATGCATTTGCCCGTGTTTTACTTTCTCGCCCCACTCCTTCCAGGCTTTGGCTCATAAGACCCTGGTGCTCCTTTTGGGTGTCGACCCCTCGAAGCAACTTGATCACCCACTGCCCACAGCCCACCCCCATGTCACCTACGCTTATATGAAGTATATGTGGAAGAGTGCTCGAAAGGTAAGCGCAAGCCAGCTCTCTTTTTGGTCACCCTTCTGGATGGAAATGCAGTAATAGAAAAGAGGTGGAAGTTTTTTAGGACCATTTCATCTTATTTTCGCATATCCTGTGTGAGCCCGGCCGGTTTACACTTTTATTTCCATCACAACTGTATCCCGCCATAAAGACAGCCTGTAATGTTAGACGTGTATGAGTCAGTCATTCAGGAGCAGTGGTTTATGATTGATTGCTTTGAAGCTGGATAAAAACATTTAGTTTCCAATAAATTCCTTGCAAGTCCTCCGGGGGAAGCTTTGATTTCATTGGAGACTTTAGACTATTTTTTTCATGTAATTTCAAAGTAAAAACTAAACTAGGACTCATGGGTAATTGTCTTGAATTTGGCAAATGAAAAGATATTAAAAATGAATATAGTCTGGTGGACTTTTACACCGCAGGTGTCACATTCATTTTAGTCATGGGCCACATGGTAGTTATGATTTCCTTCAGACTTTCCTTTTGACTTTGAAACAATATAAACTTTTCATATAAACTTATTTGTAGTTATATTATTTTCCAAATGTGTTGCACAGAAAGGTCTCAGGAAATAACACTTTTGAACATAAATACAGCATTTGTGTTCAGTGTTCAGCTTGATGACTCATGCAGTTTGTATTGTAGCGCATATAGCCATGACAAATTTCACCAGGCAAAATTTAGAACTATGACATTCCAGAAAAAAATCCACCTGGTGCTTATTATTATTATTATTATGCAAACCTGATGTGCTAGAGAAAAAATAGGGCTGATTTTACTTTTTTTTTTTTTTTTAAATAATACTTTTGAATTTCTAAAACGCTGTCATGAATGCAGTGCACTTTGGTTCGACTTCAGTTCAGCAAGCATTGAAGGATGCCTGCGCTTGTGCTTGCCTGCGTCTTTGGTTTATCGTCCTTTTGGAGCTACAGCTCAACAAGCTGTGAGAAAAGATGATTCACAATTACAAGTGACAGTGGTGAACTACGCTTTTGTGTGAGTTACAAAAAGTGGTATGCAAATTGCATGTAAAGTATAATCGAGGATTTATGAGAGTGGCTGCCCTGTTCACTGTCTACGTGCTGAGTGTGCTGTCAAAGTAAATTTCTTCACTTTGAGTCTTTGCTTTATCATTGTTTTCTTCGATTCAGGGTGACACTTCCAGACCAGAAAGCCTCCCAGCCACCATCCAACCTTTCTCTAAAGTTCATTTTGTGCCTCTTTAGATTGATGCCTTCCAGCACATGCAGCATTTTGTGCAAGGGATGCAGCAGCAAGCCCAGCATGCTATTGCGGCCGAAGACCAAAAACACAAACAGGAGCTTCACAAACTGATGGCAAGGTTTGTCCCCTTTAAATAAACATACTTTTAAAAAAAAGGTGCTTTCTGACCAAATTGTCTACAAATCTCTAATCTAGTCCTCTGTGCTCTTTGACTGACTTGTGGTTTGGTTGATGTGTACTTTATATATGGAAAATTTGTTCGGGAAGTGTACTTGAGATAATAACTGTTCAACTCATTTGCATCACTTTCATTTATTTTCGTAACAGTGTCTGTCTACATTATTAATGCTGCATGGTGTATCCAACTGTCATGCTAATTGAAGAAAAATGTAGCCCTGTGGGGTTTTTTTTCCTGTTTTAAAAAACACTTTCACATTCATTCCCAGGGTCTATTTCAAGGTGAGCCAGATCCTTTGAGTGACTAAATAGTAAACGTTTGCAATGCAAAATTAGCCCTCTTTTGCACTATATCGCGCACAGCTACTCATCAGCAACCCAAACATGGCACCGTGCCGTCAAATGTCGCAGATGCGGTTTGCTTCTTCCACAACGCTGCCGGTTTTTCACCTTCAGGCCTCCCACTGAGTTGCTTGACTGACGGCTCTGGCAGAAAGGTGCAGCTCACTGTGGGGAAACCATGCATAGCATGAACTATTTTTCAAAATGTTGTCAGCTTAACTGCAGCTTTTCAAAAGCCTGACATTCAGATGACTTCCTGTGTTGTCATACGCTGATTACAGAGATTTGATCCTGATTCGGTCTCATGGAAAATGGAATATAAAATCCTGCATTGAAAATTACCCCAGTGATATAGTTCCATTCTTAACTGTCCCACAATTCTAAAATGAAGTTAGGCACTGGAGTATTCATTAAAAAAAAAAAAAAAAAAAACAAACACACACTCTACCTTCACAAGTTAGCACACGTACTGTGAATTCCTATTTTGTAATACAGGTACTGTAAGAAAAGCAAAGAAAGAGCTCAGCAGCTCAACAAAATTAGTTTTTTGTAAATTACAACATGAAGTTAAATGCATTTAAGTGCAACTGTAGAGTATCGTACATTTGTAATATGCAGAACATCTATTACATGATTTATGTTTTGTTTACTGATCACATCCAAAGCTCAGTTGATATATGCAAACGTTTCTGGAGCGGATGGATCTTGGGGGGGCGGGGTAATTGGATTTTTATGCTTTAACATCTGCCCTGAGTTACAATCTTTCTCAACTTCTGACACAAACGCGCAGACATGGATCATTGCTTCTCATTTGTCACACATCGACACAGTGAAGCGTGACAAATTGGAAAAAAAGACCTGGGCTGTTTTTGGAAAAATCGTTTCAACCTCCCAAGAGGGACACTGGTTGTCTGAGGAATGCATGTTAGTAACAACAAGAGTATCTTGTCAGTCAAGGGCTGGTTTCCTACAGACACGCTGACACACTTTAAAGAATACAGGTCTGATGTGCGGTATGGGGCACACCCGGGCGGCTCGGCCCAACACTGTGTGTACACAATCAGGGGGACGTTCTTCCCGCTAGACAAATTCTATCTAGCGTGACTAAGCTTTATAACCTGGTATCACCTCTCCAAATGACACACAGTTTTGATACCCCCGAACATCCAGACACCTCCTGTTATTTTCCCAAAAGTCAAACCTGTTACATTTTCTGCAGTTTAAGGAAACTTTTGCCATTTACACGTGAAGACGTGCTCGCATGGAAAAGCACTCAGGAAAAATTACATAATCTCCTTCAAAACAATTTAGTTTAGGTATTCTGCAAATGGGCCCAAGACTGCTGGATTCTTGATGGAAGGGATGACAACACCATGTGTACAAAGCGCTCAATTTGCTTCAACATGTGTGAGCGTTTTATTCAGCCTTTGCCACACACCAGTAGTTTGCTTGTGAGCGTCTTACCATCCAGAGCTTGATGGATGAAGAGGAATGCAGCAGAGCTCGTTGTAACTGAAGAAAAAGTAGTTTGGATAACTAAGCAGACTCTCTGGTTGTACTCCCAGAACCTTTCAGCACATATGGGAAGTTTTTATTCGTGTTTGATTATTTTTTTAAAAAAATAAATAAATAAAAAATGCCGCCTTGCTTCTCCCAAAGTCAAAACAGAATTGGCTCCTTTTTTTTTTTTTTCATTTTTTTATTAACTGTCCTTCGTACTCTGAATGCAACTTATCAGATATGTTTTGGAAGCTGCGACATGATAATCATGATTATATTCCTCAGTGGGACCATTTTACTGCTCATGCGGTCATGTCATTCAGTGGTTCTAGAAATTGAACATTTCCCTTGTTAAATTAGGAGCAGGAGACCCTGAATCCGCACTCATTTTACAGCATTCAGAACATTTTAGCGATTGAACTTGTTACTGTTGAGCACGGATGACCTCTGACCTCATGTTTCCTATCAGGTCCCCAGCAATTTGGTGTTTTTGTTATCCTACTGAATGTTTTTTTTGAAAAAACATATCATTTAAAATGAGCATTTTTTGGTTTTCTTTATTAGATGCACTGATTTCCGTGACTTTTATTCTTCTTTTTCACAGATGCTTCCTAAAGCTGGGAGAGTGGCAGCTCAGTCTGCAGGGCATCAATGAGAGTACCATCCCCAAGGTCCTGCAGTATTACAGCCATTCCACTGAGCACGACCGCAACTGGTACAAGGTCAGCCCCACCGCTCCTCTTTACATTCTAACCTTTCTCTTTCAACCTCTCCGGCGACAGTTAAAAAAAAAAAAAAAATCTAATCCAGCTCTGTCGGCAGGAGGCTGTCCTTACAGGCAAAAGTCTTAAATGCCTTTCAACACAAACATCTTCAAAAAATGATGTTTAGATTCAGTCAGTTCATGGCCCATTTGTACAGATCAATGAGTGGTTATATTTAGAGTGTATCCTCCAGTGTATCAAAGATTTTACGAAACTGTGGTACAGAGAATTCTTTTTTTTTTTTTTTTTTTTTTTTTTTTTTTTTTTTTTTTTTTTTTTTTTTTTTTGTTTTGTTTTGTTTTTTGGTCCAAGCCAGTGCTTCAGGCTACAGGGATGTTTACATTTTACTCAGCTATCCAGCCTTCTACCATCTGTCCATGCCAACTCCCTTAAGCTTTTAACCTTTTTAATAGGTGGTTGCATAACGCAGCAAACATCACACTCGCTCACACATGTTTGGATAACCAACCAAAACTGGAAAAATGACATCATGAGCCATCATCGTGATGGAAGTCATTTCCAGTTGTTGCCTCCTTCCTTTTTTTTTACCCAGCTTGTACAATCTTTTGGCAGGCCTGGCACGCATGGGCAGTTATGAATTTTGAGGCGGTGCTGCACTACAAACACCAGAGTCAGGCGAGAGATGAGAAGAAGAAGCTGCGGCACGCCAGTGGTGCCAGTGCCAACAGCGAGGCCAGCAACAGCGACAGTGAGGTTGACAGCAACGACCAGAGTCCTGCTCCTTCGCCAGGACAGAAAAAGGTTAATGAGGTGAGAATGGTACAGAATGAAGCTCACATCATAGAGGTCCACTGGCAGTCGAGTGTACTAAAAAAACAAAAAACAAAAACGGAACCTTTGGTTGTACATGATTAATATGTGGTCAACTGAAGTACTTTTCGACTGATTATTCTAAAAAATATTCAAATGATGTTTGCTGGTTTAATATGTTTTAATCCTGCCAAACCGATGTACATGTCCGAAGGAAGTAAATCCAATAGAACCAAAGGGTTTTTTTTTTCCAGTGTAGGTATAATAATTAAGAATTCTGTCCATTGTGCAGAACTGATTGTTTATTCACTTTTCAGTTCTGGTTTGATGCTAGTCCTAACAGGCTCTTATCATTTCGAAACAAGATTTGCAGAAATATGCAAGCGAATACAGTATCACCATTGTGTCATGCATGGTAATGCAACGGTCACATTGAGCACAGTTTGTGTGATCAGCCCTGGAAGCGTGCCGGGCGGCACATTTGAAGCGTCCGAAGCAAAAATTTCGGTGTTGAGCACCTACATACTTCAGCTTGCGCAGAACAAGCACACACACACAGCCAAGTAAAGTTAAAAAAAAAGACACATACACACTGAGAGCTATGTACAACACGGCCAGTTTACTTCACCAGCAAGAACCGAGACAAAAAAAGATGCATGCTGGACGAATTTGGGAGCAGACTGAATTGTGTAAAACTGTTGAACTGTCAACCAAGATAGCATTGAGCAACCTACACAACCACATCCAACCGGTCACCAGATGAAATTTTTTTTAATGTCGGCGGAAGAGAACCCCCCCTCATGTTCGCTCGAAGCAACCCTGGTGTAGTCACCCCCTTATGCTCTGAACCTTGCATGAGTTTGATCACGATCCTGATCATTGGAGTTCTTTTTTTAGATGTTTAGATGTCCTCCAACACACCCAATTCAACTGATCAGGATCATTATCAGGCTCCTGCAGAGCTTGCTGATGAGCTGATCATTTGAATCAGGTGGATTGGAGGAGCGCAACATCTAAAACACGCAGGGTAGTGGCCCTCCACGTTTGGATTTTAACTTTATCCAAACGTGCTGTAGTGGTCTCCCATTACTTCAAGCAACATCATTATATGATGAAATAACAAACTTTTTAACACTCAACAAATGTGAGAAACACAGTTCATAATAATACTCATATAATAATTACAAATGTATTATGTTCCTCCATATTTCTTTCTTTATTTTTCTCTCCAAGACCTTGCTTCTGTACACGGTTCCTGCTGTTCAAGGGTTCTTCCGCTCCATTTCATTGTCCAGAGGAAACAACCTGCAAGACACGCTCAGGTGAGTCAAATAGCTCCGGTACTGTCCTGAATTGTTAAAGCAAGACTTAGGTGAGTTTAAGAGGACATCTAGTGGTTGCTTGTTCTCCTACTCTTCTTTTCGGTCTGTAATAACTAGGCTAACTCTTATATCTTCATCCATCCATTTTCTGTACTGTTTATCCTCACATTCTGTTTTATGGCTGTACTTTTTAGGGTTCTGACTTTGTGGTTTGACTATGGCCATTGGCCTGAAGTAAATGAGGCCCTGGTGGAGGGCATCAAGACCATCCAAATAGATACGTGGCTGCAGGTAAAACTTACACACGTACCATTGTCAGCAGTTCATGGTCAGAACAAGAGTTTTTTTCAGACCTATAGTTTCTCAATCGCCAGTGTAAAAAAAATAATAGGAATGAGTAATAAGTGAACATTTTAAATTTCACTGACAGTCGACCTCCGCTATTCGTGGAAACATGTAATTGTTGCCCAATGCATTGGGGGGGGACTCAATCGCCAGTGTAAAAAAAAAATAATAGGAATGAGTAATAAGTGAACATTTTAAATTTCACTGACAGTCGACCTCCGCTATTCGTGGAAACATGTAATTGTTGCCCAATGCATTGGGGGGGGAAAAAAATCGACCTTCACGTAAAAGCAGTTTCGTCTTGATCAATATGAAGCATTTGATGGCATTTGATTTAACCCTTAATGAATTCTGTACATTTTCAAACAAGTTTTCTCTGTCAATCCCTCAGCTCAAGTTATTTTTTGAAGGCGACTATTGAGGTGAAAACTATATAATTTAGTGCTCATCTTCGTATTTCCTATTCAGGTGATCCCACAGCTCATTGCTCGGATTGATACTCCTCGTCCTCTGGTGGGTCGCCTCATCCACCAGTTGCTAACAGACATTGGGAGATATCATCCACAAGTAGGTTTGCACTTCTACTGCTAAATGAGCTCCCCCTTTTTGTCCTGAAACAATATATAAAGCAATAACCATTGCTAAACTACGAACCGTTCCTCTCCAGGCGTTGATCTACCCACTAACTGTGGCCTCAAAATCTACCACCACGGCTCGCCACAATGCTGCAAATAAAATCCTGAAAAACATGTGTGAACACTGCAACACTCTGGTTCAGCAAGCCATCATGGTATGGACACAATTGTATTTTTTACTTAAACAATGCATATATGAATTGTGACATCATCATCAAAGTATTTTTGACTAAGCTGTTGAATGACAACCGCATATTTTGGTGGTATGAGTCATTATTCTGTTGTCTATACTTTTGTGTCCTTCATCCAGGTTAGCGAGGAGCTCATCCGAGTTGCCATCTTGTGGCATGAGATGTGGCACGAGGGCCTCGAGGAGGCTTCACGTCTCTACTTTGGGGAGCGCAATGTCAAGGGCATGTTTGCTGTGCTGGAACCTCTGCACGCCATGATGGAGAGGGGGCCGCAGACCCTGAAAGAAACGTCATTTAATCAGGTCTGTGTCTGGCTCCCCTCTTCATCGTAACACCAGAAAGTACACCTAGTTCTGACCTCATGACAAAAAAAAAATATATATCACGGGCACCATAAAAATGAAAGAATTCAAAACGAAGGTTATTAATCAAGCAACGTTCAAGGATTAAATCACTTATTTTTATTCATGCTAAAGGCTTATGGCAGAGACCTGATGGAGGCTCAGGATTGGTGCAGGAAGTACATGCGCTCTGGAAATGTGAAGGACTTGACACAGGCCTGGGACCTTTACTATCATGTGTTCAGACGCATCTCCAAACAGTTGCCACAGGTAAGCAAAGCTGCGCCAACACGAATGTCTTATGACCAATTCTGACTTTCTCAGCTATTTTATATTCTACACATGTAAGTTACCGTACAGTGCAATGCAGTCTCTCGACTATGCTGATAAGTTTTCAGCAAATCAGAGAAAAGTGATTATCAGTGCGTGACCTACATTTTCGTTGCTGGATTGATGATGTGTGTTGCACTGCTATGATGTCACATTCTTTACTCGGGTGACAGAGCTGTTACTATTCCATCTACAGTACACTCACAAGCTAGATCAGGACCAACCAGTCCAATCTGTATCATCATGGCTAACTGAACTCCACTGTTTGGTGAAAATCCAGCTTTTTACTTACGAAAAATATGACAGAATAGGAAAAAAAAAATCCCTTCGCTCATACCGGTTTCGGTGGAGGGCACTGGTCTTGCCTCTAGAGTTTCACACTAGCGGCATTTACATGGAGTCTTGTGTTCCAATTAAAGTGAAACCGCAAACCAACAGAATGAAAATGCTCCATGTAAACACCTCAATTGGAATAAAAAGGCCCAATCCCAATGGAATTTGTTTTGAATTCACAGAGCGGGTATATTTCTTTAGCCAATCTAAACAAACTTCACGTAAACACTTCAATCAACATTTCAAACGACTTTTTGCACGGTGGGGGCTCGTCATGACCGCAGACTTTGAAGTGCACAGCTGCCACTGGTTCCATTATTTGTACTATTTTAATCAATGACAGCATAATCAATTAGTTGGGTTTTTTATCCTATTAAATTAGCCTTTGAATGTATTTTTGGCGTGGTGGTGTGTTGATGTGAGTATGCACTGTGCAAAGGCATATCATAGCAGTGTAAGGTATAGTACAACTTGAACAAAGCAGTGACTGAGGACTCAAACAAACTGTCTTCTTTTTTTCCTGAAAAGTTGTCATTTTGACAGTACACGGATTCTGCCCGACAGCGATGATATACTTGAGGCATTGGTGGCAGTTGCAGTTTTGATCATTCATCCATCCATCCATTCCCTACACCGCTTATACTCAAAAGGGTTGCAGGTACAGTATGCAGTACAGTAGGCTATCCCAGATGACTTCAGGCCAGGGTACACCCTGAAATGGTCCCGAGCCAGTCACAGACCACACATAGATAAGACAATTTATAGTCTTCAGTAAACCTACCATGCATGGAATGTGAGAGGAAACCGGAGTACCCAAAGAAAACTCGCGCAGTCATGGAGAGAACATGCAAACCCCACACAGGAAAGCTGGAGCTTGAATTTGAACCTATGAACTCTGCGCTGTGAGACAGATGTGCTAACCAGTGCAGCTTTTTTTCCCATATGGTACAAAAAGAAGCTTCCTCTGCTGCATCATCAGACCATCTCATTAACTGATCCTCTCAAAATTCTATGCAGCTTACTTCTCTGGAGCTGCAGTATGTTTCTCCTAAATTGCTGATGTGCCGCGACCTGGAACTGGCCGTCCCGGGCACCTATGACCCCAACCAGCCAATCATTCGCATCCAGTCCATCGCGCCGTCCCTGCAGGTCATCACCTCCAAGCAGCGCCCACGAAAACTCACCATTATGGGTAAGGATTATCGGCAGTTTGCTTTAGTTTGTCGGGTTTGAGAAAAAGGTTTGTGATTCTTTGGCTTAACTTTAACTTGTCCTAAAATTGTATGAGCACAGATGTCAAACTGCACAAGAGTTACACACGTGTACACACACATGCACACAAACATCGATCCATCCATTCTCTTAAACTGCTTAATCGTCACGAGGGTCGTGGGCGTGCCGGAGCCTATCCCAGCTGTCTTCGGGCAGTAGGTGGGGGACAACCTGAACCTGTTGCCAGCTAATCGCAGGGCACACAGAGACGAATAACCGTTCACGCTCACAATCACACCTAGGGACAAGTTAGAGTGTTAAATTAGCCTGCCATGCATATTTTTTGGAATGTGGGAGGAAACTGGAGTACCCAGAGAAAACCCACACAGACACGGGGAGAACATGCATTGGGAGGCGGACATGCTAACCAGTTGACCGGTGTGCCGTCTCACATAAATCAGCAACCTAGTGACCATGACATGCCACCAAATCCAGTCGAAGCAAAGGGCTTCCTACGTCTAAAAGAATGTGTGTGCATGGCTTAACTCACTTTATCATACTTCCTTGACTTCACATCAAGATGCGCCAAAGCAAAACGGGTATCGCTTTGGCCTGAGCACAGCAGCAGCAGCTTTTTTTTTTTTTTTCAGGGAATATTAGAAGATAGTTATTTGCCAGTTCATTGGACATGTAAAAGACAATTACCAATGGCAAGTGTGATTGCTGAAGTTCGTTATGTTGAGAATAACAGTTTTGAGAAGGGCACTTCACTTGAGATCAGAGTCTGCCTTGGGTGTAGCTCTCCTGCTGTGACTATGATTCTAAAATACTAAGGGGGGAAAAAAAACATGCAAGTCACAAATGCCTAACTGTGAGTGCACCGCAGTTCGCTTACATAAAATTAAAAGTTGACTGGGAATATACAGCTGGAAGTGATGGTGTTCATGTCAAGAGACTCGTCTTCCAAATTAGTCACGTCCTTCTGCATATTAGTTCCTTCTCGAAATTAAAGGTCAGTATTGTGTTATGATTAAGTTATTTTTACACTTGTATTACAGTTACAAATGTTCATGTTACTTAAAAAAGTGCCCGTGTAGTAAATGGTTTAAGATGGCCAATGGTGGAATTTCTATTCTTTCCTCGAAGTAAATTTTGATTCCAACTCCGAACAGCTGGAGGTGAATCAAAATTGCAGAACAGATTGTTTGACATTAACAGTTCCATCATCGTAGTGATAAAAATTTCCATTTGCACATAAATCAGACTTCTTCCCTAATACCAATTTTGGACAACAATTTGGAGGCATAAATAAATAACAGCGAGACTATCCCATTTGCTGTGCTGTATGGTGAGAAATATCACACTGAAAGGCCTTTAAAAAAATTGCCACGCCACCGTAAAGTCACCTTGTCTCGAAGCCAAATCACGCTGCTATTAATCACAAACGCTGCACTTTACCTCCCACTTTGCACTGGGCAGCGTCGTACCTCGTTCTCATGTTGCGCCCTCAGTGATACACAACGCGCGCTGTAAAAGATGAAAGGCAATAAATCAACTGACCTCTGGAGCAAGACATCAGATTAAGACCTGTCACCCGCTACGGGGCTCCGAGATTTTACTGTCAGACCTCTCTGGCGGCGGGAAACGCGTTGCATCGCTTGGATGGTCTTGAGGAGCAAACAACTATACAAATCTAATATTAAAGCTTGAGCACAAATTACTCTCCGAGAACCACAATCATGCAGCCACAACTCTTTCAAACTGTAGGACTTTTAAAGTGATCTCAGTGATCCCTCCTTGAAGTCTAGTCTATATTCATGATATGGAAACTTGGCCATCTTTTTTCCAAAAGGACATTAACATATAGAGGCAGTTGAAGAATGATTCGTCTTGCACTCAGGTAACGTCATCAATGTTGTGTTTTGTGGCTCCCTCTGCAGGTAGCAACGGCCATGAGTTCATGTTCCTGTTAAAGGGCCACGAGGACCTCAGGCAGGATGAGAGAGTCATGCAGCTATTTGGTCTGGTCAACACGCTGCTCGCAAACGACCCCGCCTCTTTGCGCAAGAACCTCAGGTAGGCTAACTGCCGTCGCGTATTCATGCACAGTAGCATCTTTGTCGAAAACCCATCCCTCACGGAATTAATATTTGTTATCCTTCATGTGTCGCACACGTTAGCATCCAGCGCTACGCAGTGATCCCTTTGTCCACAAACTCAGGCCTGATCGGCTGGGTGCCCCACTGTGACACCCTGCACGCTCTCATTCGAGACTACAGAGAAAAGAAAAAGATCCTGCTGAACATTGAACATCGCATCATGCTCAGGGTATGTAATCACTGCCTGAAGTCCTTTTTCCTCAAAACTGTTAGCGAAAGGGACCGATCCTAGAATGGGTTTCAAGTTTGCTGATGTCGGCAGCTTTCCTCATTTTATGTTTCTCAGTGAATAATTCACAAATGTTGAGCATATAATGATTTATGTCATGCAATTCTTTCTTGCCAAGGTTCGCCACAGTGTCATTTTAGTTTCTTCTATTTTAAATTCAAAAGCCAGTTTTTATCATTTTTGAAACCCCCTTTGTTTGTTATCAATTCCACATTTGGCATCGTTTAGTTTTAGCTTGACAATAAGTCATAATCCGAGCTGCATTTATGTCGTGTCTTTCATGGGACTCGGTGACTGCGCATCCATCACCCGATGGGTGTTTTTGGAATTCAGGAAGAATTTGATTGGGGTTTGTTTGTTTTTTTTCCTCTATTAGAATCGACTTGAAACCTGTGAGCTGTTATCCGTCAACTTCGCAAAAGGGCCAGGGAAATTTTAATCATACCATATCGGAACTGGTGATTCATCACTGTTATGTCATATATGCAAATGTTCCCATTGTTACAGTTGTCCTAAAGTGCCTTCATTGCCTTTAACCTCCTAAGAGCATAATGCTTACCGAAACACATGATCGTTTTTATGTGTTTTTTTTTTTTGTTTTTGTTTTTTTTTTTTGTTTGTTTGTTTTATTTATTTATTTTTTTGTCATGGCGTCACCAGTGTGTTGAATTACAGCCTGTATTGATTTGTTTTTCGCATTTGCCCCCAACACCTACGTACCGGTCCTTAAATTCAGAGAGCAACACTGAGGCGCAAACACATTTGCACAACAAATTATCATTCATTTTGTACAATGCAGATTTATGTTTAATTAAGCAAACACATGGCCTTCACTGTTTCTGCCATCTGTTGTTTTGAAATGACAATTTTACCCAAAAAAAAAAAAAAAAAAGACACCAACTGCTAACTAAAGGTTACATTTCAAATAGATTCATCAAAACACAAGATGCTATTTACATTCATTTGTTGTCTAATAAAGACTAATCCATCTTAAACGAAGATGCATTTGGACTCCTTAATTGCTTTGTGCCGCACGATTTTCTTTTGATAGTATAAAAAAGGAATTGAAAGAGATTTTGCAACAATGTAATGTCCCAAGCGTTACGATATCTAATTAACAAATAGTCAATAACAATAAACCAGCATCTAGTTTCAGCCAATAGAGTGAGACATTAAAACATTTAAAAAAAAAAAAATTTTTTTTTTTTTTTGGCTTCATGATATTCGCTGATTTGATTTTGCTCGTAATTCATTTGTTCAAAAATGGAAGAAAAAAAAAAGAAAGGGATCAAATCAAAGGTGTGCTTTATTTAATTGTATACCAAGGCGAATTTGAGACTGGTGAGGCTCACAGAAGTGTGCTCCAGGGCCTGCTGATGATGCATAGAGTGGCGTTGCGGTCGGTGCAGGAGCTATTTTATCAGAAACCAGCTTGTTGTTGTTTTTCTTTTGTTTCTTTGGAGAGCCTATCTAGAATAACTCTTCTTGGAATCTTCCCTGGAACGGATGTACACATGATTCCCCATGTAGTTTTTTTGTTTGTTTGTTTTTGCAGTCCTTGAGGTTTTGTTTTGTTTTGTTTTTTTTGGAAAGTTTTACTTGGTGCCCTTCAGCTTAGTTGCTTGGCTCTTTTTCTTCTTCAGCTGAATAGCTGGGTAGTGCTGTAGCTGTTTCTGGGAAGGCTTTGATGGTTTCCGGTGTTATTCCGTCCAACCCTTGTGCTTTGGGATCCTGCAGTTGTTTTATATCCTTTTTTTTTTCTTGGTTTTTTTTTTGTTTTTTTTTTTTGTACTTGTTTGTGAAGTGCTCTGCCCCTTGTCCTTAATTGTTCCTTCCTTTTGAGTAGTTTTCCTTCCTCGACTCATTTTGGTCTGTCGAGGACTCTAGGTTTTTGTAATTACTCGTTCATATCCGTGTTACATTGTAGTTTTGGTGGGTTGATTGGCTGAGTCTTCGGCCTGGGTTGCAAGGTTACTGATGAGCTCTCTTTTGTCTTCCTTGATTCTCCTTTTCACTTTGCTAGGGAGTATTCAAGCTGTGCTTTTTGCTTTTGTAGCTATTTTTTGATTGCGTCCTTCGCTTTTTCCCTGAGTTGGCAGTTTCTGCAGAGTGTCCCCTGATATTTCTTCCATATTCTTTCTCATCCTTTTTCCGCATGTCTTCACATGCCCCACTCCAAGCTCTCAATGCTTTGCCACTATTGAGCCGTGCTCCGTTCTTCTTCCAGTTGACCTAGCAGGCGGAATAGGTTGCAATTTCCCTCTGATGTTTTTGAGCCTGGACATGGCTGAGTTGAATGTTCCGCTGTTTGTTTGTTTTTGTTGTTGTTTGTATTTTTTTACTGCAGAAAAAAAAATTACACTTAACCTCTTCAAGATTTGTTCGTGATGTTTTGCTGATGGAAATCTGATCAATGTAATTTTCAGTTTTGTGATCCGAGCAAACCATGCCATTTTGTGGACCATTTTGTGAGGAAAGACAATGCTTCCTATGACCAAGTTTTGAAAAAGCACAGAAAGATTTTAATTGTCTGCCACTGATTTTAATTCCCCACTTGACAACATTGCCCACTCTTTGCTCCTTTCTCATGTTATCTTGACCTATTTTGGAACTGAAGTTTCATGTCAGTATAATGTATTTTGTCTTTTGTTAATGACCTATTTTAAGCATTCATATAAATTGTGTTTTTGCTGCTGCGCTGCCTTGTTTGTTGGTGCGTAGCACTGGATTCTGGTGATTTTCTTGGTTGGGGTGAAAAGTCATGCAGTGGTTGGTTTTTCTTCCAGATGGCGCCTGACTATGACCACCTGACACTGATGGAGAAAGTGGAGGTGTTTGAGCACGCAGTCAACAACACTGCCGGGGATGACCTGGCAAAGCTTTTGTGGCTAAAGAGCCCCAGTTCGGAGGTGAGATGCTCTGCTTCTTTTTTTTTTTTTTCTTGTTGGCAGCACTGGCAAGGATAAATGAGTGGACATGATCTTTTCAGCATCGGCCCTCACTGGTTCAAGGGTGAAATGTCAAGGACACTTGACAAACACATCTAAAATAAGAAACGCTGCAATAAAAGAGGAACTATTGTAGGACAAGGAAAGTGTCATTGAAGGCACCGTGCCTCACTTTAATAAGTAGCCCTGCAGCTGCAATTTTTATTAGTTTGTGAACCTCTGCAAATGCTCAGAGATTAGGTGTTGAGAAAAAAAAGGCCTTTTATCTTGTTTGTCATCTTGCACAGCTCATTTAGACATTTTGTAACCCAGTCATAATTTCTCCTGCAGGTGTGGTTTGATAGGAGGACGAATTATACTCGCTCCTTGGCTGTAATGTCAATGGTCGGCTACATCCTGGGACTGGGCGACAGGTGGACTCATCGACAAGATCAAAGTTACCATTGTTCAACATTGTTTTGAAAGGAGATTATGTTTCTGTTCTTCACAGACATCCGTCGAACTTGATGTTAGATCGGTTAAGTGGAAAGATCCTCCATATAGACTTTGGAGATTGTTTTGAGGTAAGAGGAATTTATTTATGCAACATGCACGCATCATACAATTATTTTGGCCCCAATATTAACCAGGATTACATTCATCAGGTCGCCATGACTCGAGAAAAATTTCCTGAAAAGATTCCCTTCAGATTGACAAGGATGCTGACCAATGCCATGGAGGTAACCGGCACAACATCTTCATCTGTATTTAGCCTTTGGTCGCAAATACTGGACTCATCTAGAATTGATTTGTCCTGACAGAAAACTGCGATTGTGTACAACGTTTGTGTTTGCGGCCAGTAATTTGCGTGTTTTTGACTGTGCGCAAGGTGACAGGCTTGGACGGTAACTACCGAATCACATGCCACACGGTCATGGAAGTGCTGAGGGAGCACAGAGACAGTGTCATGGCCGTGCTGGAGGCCTTCGTCTACGACCCGCTGCTCAATTGGAGACTCATGGACAGTAAGGAACCATTTAGGACAATTTAACATCGTCCTCCGTGGTTTCAGCATTTTCTTGCGGAAGCATACAGTATGTTCTATTAAAGAAACAAAAATGCACGTTGGCACTGAAATAACGTGAGATAAATTGACATTGATGGAAAAAAAAATCAATATTGACAAGGCACAAAGCTTCTGGGAGAAACTCCTTCAGCCCCATGCTTACAAATGTAAAAAAATGAAGCGCACGAAGAAAAAGAACAAACACCGAAGACATCCGATTTTATTGTTACTTTTTTAATGTATGCTACTATTTCGTACCAAACTATTTCGAACTGTAGTATGAGAAGTCCTGCTTTGTACAGCATCTCCCAAACGTGTTAATAAGTTACCTAGTTTCATTCTTAAGAAGAAAAAAAATCAACATAAATAAAGATATAACTCTTTGAGCGAGCTACATCACAAATAGAAATTGCGGTGTGCGGATTTGATGCGTTTTGACGGCAGTCTGGCTCAGTGTGACCGTTTTCTCTGCCTGTGACAGAATGACAGATGATTACTTTATGAAATAATGTCTCTCAACTGCAAGGCTGGACAAAGGAAACAGGATTTAGGCGCTTTAATGGAAGGCTGGCAGGCATTGTCGTGACACAAAGCATTTCAAGTACAAATTTCTCCTTTTCCTTCAATTTTCAAGGTCATTTCAGGCAACAGAACAGATTCACAGAACAGATGGTGACGTACTATTAGATAAAAAAAAATTGTTGTCAGATAAAGAGTGATGAGGTTGGAATTGGTCAATCACATATGCATTGATATATGTATCCTTCCCCATCATGTTCACTGTAAATTAGGCTTTTTGTTTCAAACCTAAGTCTAGGAAGCTGTAGCCCTTCATTTAAAAAAAAAAGTTTGAAGAGCAGATTTAAAAGGAAATGTATCAATGTGAAAATTGGGACTTTTTGGTTCTGCTCTTTAATTATGATTGGGTGTTTCTTTCTGTAAATACAAATGAATGGTGCACTGCTAATTGTAACTGTCTGTAGTCCAATAATAACTTCTTTTTTTTTTTTTTTTAACAGCAGAAAAATCTTTCCACCTGACTGTGTTTTTTTTGACTCAGAAGTAGAATTCACAGCACTTTTTTTCAACAAAACAAACTAAAAGCCAAGTTGTTGTGGTCATCGCTAACAAACATGATTTGCCCCCCCCAGCTAACACAAAAGGCAACAAGCGCTCACGCACGAGGACAGACTCGTACACGGCGGGTCAGTCTGTAGGTGAGTCACCGGTGTTGCTTGAATTTGTACAAAAATGCCCTCCCCTCCCCCACACTCCCCTGACAGTGTTCTGTCCTCTTACGCAGAAGCCCTTGAGGGAATAGAAATGGGTGAAGCTACGCACAAGAAACCAGGGACCACAGTGCCTGAATCCATTCACTCATTCAGTGAGTTGTTGCCTTTTCACACTTTATTTGCTCTTGTTTTGATTGTCGAACGAGGCCACTTCTGCCCACTGCTTCGCCAACGCACTTTGATACCTTTGCAAGAGTCTGAGATTTGAAATTTCTAGTCAATAACTCTTTGTCTGTGTCAGTTGGCGATGGCTTGGTGCAACCCGAAGCCCTCAACAAAAAAGCCATTCAAATTATCAACAGAGTGCGAGATAAACTGACAGGTAAGTTCTGCAGCCTTCAACCAGTCAGCTTCAGGTTCCACACTTAACGGTCACAATCACACTTCTTCAATGACAAATCAATGTCAATATGAAATGAAACATGCAAAAACAAAAATGATCACCCTTCTAACTTCATGGCATTTCACACAATAAACAGACACACACAGACTGTGTGCTTTTTCCTCCTGGCCACTTTAACTGTGAAGGAAATGATGCTTCAAGTGTCTCCGTTTATTTTCTTTCTTACTTGGCCTCAGAGAAGGCTGGTGTTGAAGTACCTGGCCTTTCTTTGGCCGATCCAAACAAATGGAATTTTGCATTTTAACCCTTTGAGGGACAGCGGTCACTACAGCGGACAGCTTATCATGTCATCAGGTTACAGGGCGCACGAAAGGGTTAATGTGACTGTGATCCCTCCAGGTCGAGACTTCTCTCATGACGAGACGCTGGATGTGCCAACGCAAGTAGAGCTTCTGATCAAGCAGGCCACGTCCCATGAGAACCTGTGCCAATGTTACATTGGATGGTCGGTACCACTGTTTGTTTCCACGCCTGCTTTTTGTGTGTTTGTTTGTTTGTCTACAATCGGCAGTGTCATTGCCAGGATAGTTGCCATTGTCTGTTGTAGCCATAATGATGAAAACGGTGAAAGTGAACACACTCCTGTTAATCTAGTTTAAAAAGTACTGTAAGTACGTAGTTGTGATCATCATTGTTTGTAAACCCTGTGAAACACTTTTACCCGGCTTGTTCATAATATCATTTTTGTCATCTCTCTTTAGGTGTCCCTTCTGGTGAAGAACCATTTTTGGGAGCCATTTTTTACACTCGACATTCTTAACAATGAATTATGAAGACACATTCTCAAACTCAACCGTCACACTAATTCCTAGACGAAACTGTACAGTTGTGCCTTGAAAGTCGATCACAATCTGTTCTGTGACATTGATGAACTTCAGTTAGGTCGATTTTTAAAGCAACATTTCCCAAAGAGAGAATTGCATCTGGAACAATTTTCTAGAGTCCAAACTGTTACCATTATGAACTCTTGGTTGTAAATGTCATTTTAAAAGAGACATTATGAATTATTATGAATTGAAAACAGTTCCCAGACGTCTTAACGTTTGTGTTATGCTCACATCAATGATCAAGAATTATGGACATCATTTTACTGCTTATATTGGAGAAAGAACTAATTGCTGAATTTGAGCCCAGTTAAACGGAGGACATCGGCAAACACCCTCGTAACGTTGAAATTGGCTTGTTGTAGGGGCAGAGCTGTTTCATGAAGTTTTCCAGCCCTCATCCTACCCTGCTTACCCATCGGCCAAATTTAAATTGACAGTTTGTTAAATTGACGACTATTGACCTTCCTGCCAAGTTTTGGAAAATGGGCTGTACTCAGCGGTGTATCTGGAAAGAAACACCGCACTTGATTTTTTTGTAGTTTGTTACAGCCTCATTCCAACATGGAATAATTTGTTTCCCTCAAAATTCTCCACACAACACCCTATAATGATGTGAAATAGAAAAAAAAAGTTTTGTTTTTTTGTTGGGTTTTTGGCAGGGCTTTTTGGTGACAATTTCTTAAAAATAAAAAAACTGAAACAAATGACATCTACATAGAATAAGTAATGACAGCTTTTGCCACAAAGCTCAAAACTGAGCTCAGGTTTCCATTGAGCATCCTTGAGAGGTTCCTACATCTTAATTGGAATCCATCTTTGGTAGATTCAGTTGATTTGGCTTCATTTGGAAAGGCATGCCTCTGTTGATAGTATATAAGGTCCCATTGGTGAAGGTGGACCTCACATAGTGAAAATCTGCGCCTAACTGACAACCATAGAAATGCATTGTGGAGAAAGGACGTTGTAGCCCCAAAATAATCAAAATTAATCACATTAATAATTTTCCATATATTCCCTTCACATAACATTTGAACTATATTGTCATACACGTATCAACAATATTTGAAACAGCTCAACACTTGTTAAACACTCTTAATTTTAGCTCATGGCAGCTAGCCGGAGAAGCTAAAATCGCAATTTCCACCTTCACTCAGTGTTCTCCAAAATGTCGGTTGTACTCCAAATTTCAACTTTGGAGTTCCCCACTGTCTGTTTTTACACAGTGTAGCTTTTGCTCTTTCAGTCCTTTTTCCCTCTACTGTGGAGCATTGTGGTCTCTTTCCATGGCATGTTTTTGGGGGGAAAAGCTACTTCCAAGCTCAGTTTTTACCCGATTATCCTAATTTAAGTGTACATGCTGCGAGCCCCCCAGCAATAACTCCTGGCTAACAGTTTTCTACTTTGGCCATTTTGACAGCAACACAATTTTACTTTGCACGCTAGATGCTTCTTAGACACCCAGTTGTGTGGTCATGTCGTACGTTAATTGATTAATGTGACGTTTCAGTACAAAGGTTCGCCTTTTTATGAACTTCAAACTCAATGTGTAATCCATGACATGATATGAATGAAACTTGAAATCCTCATGACACGCTGTATAGGCATTGTGTGCCATTAAACATGTACAGACACGCTTTTGGCCTTGTGTTTTGTTCATTTGGCCACCGTTTGTGCTCTCAATTAAGGAAAATGAAGGCTTGCGCATTTTAGCCGCAGGCAGATTTGCTGCTATCCTTCCTCTTGTTTTTCTTTTCTTGCCCACAGAGGGCACTCTGACTCCTAATAAGACCGTCCTCCCTCCGTCTTTGGCAAAAGAGGATGTTGTGATCAGGCTGCAGATAGACGACGAAATGTTCTTTGGAAAGCTGAGCAGTCCTGGGATGCATATGCTGTTGCACATTTGGCCCAGAAAAGAGATTAGATGACTTGTCTAACAGCAGCGACACAGTGTTTACCCTCGTCCCAAAGCCAAATTGCCGGTGTTTTATATGTCCCCCCGTTGTTGTTCCCTCTCTATCTCCCACGTTCTCCTTTTGTAGGTTAATTACTTATTGATAGTTACGGATTACAGATCAACAAAAAGCAGCCCATTGATCTCTTCCCTCACCTCTGCAATGTCACACTCTACACATTGGGACAGAGCCCTCGTGATTATCTGTTCCCATCGACCCATTCCTCTTTATTTTCCTCTCCTCTGTTTCTCCCTTTTTTTTTTCCATTCGGCCCCGTCTCACCCCCCACGCCCCCGCCGCTGCCAAAGCCTCATTAGACAAAATGTGTCTTTTCATACGCCGCCTGCTTCCATTTCTGTTGTTCTTCCTCGCTCGCCTAATTTGTTTGTGTTTTGTCAGCACATGCCATAGAGACTGCTGAGGGGCAGGTGAGTCAATAGCTCATGGTAAATAGGTTCCATCGATTGAGGGAGGGATTTTGCTGTGTACCAACTGTCTATATGGACTGACTTCACAGCAAAACAGTGCTGGTTTCGGTCGGAAGTAAGTCGGTGGGGACAAACGCTACTCCCTGGAGAAAGGCAAGAATTGATGACAGCAGTTTGGGATCGAGCTAGCCAGGTACCAGACATTGGAAATAAGCCATCAACATTTTCAGGCTTAAATAATGTCACAAAAATCATTTATAAGGGTGGCCTGGTGGGTTAGTGGTTAGCGCGTGGATCTCACAGTGCAGAAGTACTGGGTTCGATTCCAGCTCCGGCCTTCCTGTGTGGTGTTTTGCATCTTCTCCCCGTACCTGCGTGGGTTTTCTCCGGGTACTCCGGTTTCCTCCCACATTCCAAAAACATGCATGGTAGGCTGATTAAACACTCAAAATTATCCCTAGGTGTGAGTGTGTGCCCTGCGATTGGCTGGCAACCGGTCCAGGGTGTCCCCTAAGATAGCTGGGATAGGCTCCAGCACGCCCCGCGACCCTTGTGAGAATAAAGCGGATCAGAAAATGGATGGATGGATGGAAATAATTTATTATTGTTGCAGCCAATATATACAGGCCATACATAAAAGGCAGACGTAAGGAAAAAAAAGTTACGTTTGCAATGGGTGAGTCCAGTTTCTCTTCCATTGGATGCATACAGAAAAATTAAACAATACATGAGCCACTTTGAAATTGTTCCGCTTAATTTAGCTCATCCATCATTGTTGATCAGGTGTCACCTACTCAACGTATGTGCAGGCCACTGGAGATAGTCGGGTGTGTCTGGGCCGCATCAAGTGTTCCACAAAAAAAGGGGTTCAGGTTTTCAATTAAAAAAGGACCACTAATCTACCGGTAATCTTCTCAATCTTTATTAAATACAGTTCAGAGCATTAACGTTACTTCAGAACAAGATTAGTGGCTAGGTCCTCTCATCTCCCTGCTACTTTGTATTCTCCTCACTGTCTCATTGAGTCATGACGACTGAATTCTTGAGCAGCGCAACTTTGGATGAGCATTCAAGACAAGTCGAGATGCTGCTGTCCTCAACAACAACAAAAAAAATGATCCCATCTCTGTTCTCGGCCCCAACCGCTACCTTCACGGCAAGTTTTGGAAACGACATGACTGGGATCGGGTGACAGGATATCTTTTCCTTCCACTTGGGTGTAACTTCAGATGTTTCGCCAAAAGTCGTCATGAACTTAAGCAATGGTAGCTCATGAGTGATTAAAAAAAAAAAAAAAAAAACACTCAGGGGGTTGTCACGACAAAAAAAGGTGGCCACTAACATTAAACTTTGTCAAGATGACAACACATCATGAAATACCATATGGAATCCAAAATATTTGCTTAATGATATGAATGTGGGCATCTTCCGATTCAACCCTTTCATGCACCTTGTAACCTGATAACATGGAAAACTATCCACTGTAGTAACCGCTGTTCCTGAAAGGGTTAAGATCAAATGTGTTGGACATGAACTGCACTTTTTTTTTATTCTTTTTACATTTCAGCTTGCATCTCAAGCACTTGCAATGGAAAGTCAAAGCCAGCAATTTGTAGCGCTCGCAAATGCTAAAGACATCAGGTGCAGTTTAGTGGTACATGGCTGCTGCCGTTCATGCAGACAGCGCAAATTTGATTGCTGGCCAGTGTCCCAATACCCACCCACTGATATAACAATAAATATATTAAAAATAACAACAACAACAAATGTGTTGTCTCAGGAAGGGTGTCTGGCACATTAAAAAAAATTCCAAACTAATAATGCAAATGACTGGCTGTGAAGAGTGTTGATCGTAAAAGCTCAAAACAAAGACAACAATCACTGGAATAACTGGCCAAATTTCTTACTCAGTTTAGTGTACAGGTACTTTGTCACATGTGCATGAGTCTGGGGTTTCTATGGCATTCTGGAAAACTGGACCCACTGAAAGCTCCGACTGCAAACAAGTGAAGTAAAATAAAAACGGGAAATCCAACTAGTGAATGGGAAAACACAATTCATTTTCACCTCAGGGATCACAGGCAAAGTAAGACAGAGTGCAGGCCTTCTTGCTTCAGCTTGAGGCCTGCACATTGGATTTAATTAAGATGTCATGAAAATGTATTGCTCTTCTAAAGAGGCATAAATCAGGTGTGAAAGTGTAGAGCTCCAAGAGAAAATCGCATTTAAGTACTACTTTCAAAGTTGCTCACAAAGAACCTGAGACAACACCCCTACCCCCTCCACCCGCCTCCACAACCTTCCCACCTCACGTCTCTTTCTTCCGGCCGCGTCGAACCAGAAAGACGGTGGCCAAATTGACGGCCCGCTGCAGGAGTTTGTTAGTTAGCAGGCTGTGAAGTTGTTAAGCGCCGCCAGACTGCAGCCAGTTGTCGGGCTGTCTTTGTTCACCGTGCTGGAAAGCCTGTATCGATGAAGCTGACAGCGGTTTAGGCCACCAGAGATTGGCTGTTCTGGAAGGGCGCTTTTGAACGTGCTTAGTTTCCCTGCCTGTTAGTCTTCTCTGCAAACATCCATCCGTCCATTTTCAAACCCGCTTATCCTCATGAGGGTCGCGGGTGTGCCGCAGCCTATCCTAGCTGTCTTCGGGCAGTAGGCCATTGTAATACCTTTTGTCTGTCTACATTTTCTAAATTTAACCCTGGAGAACCCAAGAACCCTTTTCTTCTTTGGAAAATGATGAATTTTACATTAAATAACTGCTATATGTTCACTGAACACCAAAATGTTTTTTCAAATATTCAATGCTTTAATCCTAATTTAGGATGAGGGCCAAATTTGACCCTTTGGGATTTAAGAGTAGCATATGAGTAGCAGAATTTATAGGGGCCAAATTTGACCCCGTGGGTTCTCCAGGGTTAAATGCCATTTGACAAATCTTGAGTAAGTGGGGAAGAAAACAAAAGAAAGAATATGAACAGATATGAATGCACGCACAGTAGTGTACGTGCGTGTATAGCGGGAGCAAATGTGGATGGAAATGTTGGCTGGAGTGGCAAAGACAGAGAATCGTGTTCTCCTTTTTAAAAACCAGGTTAGCATGCCTCTACTCTAATTGGAATCTGTTATTGAAGGTCATACGGTTACATAATGTGCGCTAAATCAAATAGATTTTGATCATACTTTGTTGGCCAGTTGACAGGACTAGCTACTAGACTCGATATGCAAACGCATCCCTTTATGGCGGGGGTGTCAAACTCATTTTTGTCACGGGCCACATTGTAGTTACGGTTTCCCTTGGAGGGCCATTATGAGTTTTGTCAAACCATATAAATGTTTAACCACCTCCACATATTACATATACAACGAACAACAAACAGATGGATAACTAGTTTTGACATCAGAAGTCAAGAATAAGGGATTTTTGAAACATTGTATTTATTACATTCTATACGACAATTTGAGATTTTGGTTCAGACGTTAGCAAGCGTCATGGAAATTGGCATGCTTGAATTGCTTTCGCGGGCCACATAAAATGATGTGGCGGGCCAGATCTGGCCCCCGGGCCTCGACTTTGACACCGGTGCTTTATGGTAACTGTGAAAGTGGGAGTAAGGCTGATATTTTCCTTCACATCTCAGTGGTTAGTGCATAACTACATTCTAGATATCTCTTGAACGACAGTAGTTCTGGCCACTTTTGCTCCACAGGAAGCCTCCAGAAGAAACAAAGTCTGATTGAAGGTGCATTGTGTCCTGTGTGCAGCCATGCTGATGTAATCCAACCTTTTCTTCCATCGTCATGTCATTATCCCACTGGACACCTAAGTGGTGTTAGTCGGGTCAGTGGGAGGTAAAAGGTCTGTTTTAGCCTCAAGCCTTGAACCTTTTGAGTCATCCACGTGTTTCACCATTGGACTATTACGGTTTCTGCAGCGGGAGACTGAAAGTATTATTCCAAAGTTCCACCACATGCGACCTTAACATTTTATCCGCCTCAAGTGATCCACTCGTTTAGATATGAATTGTGTGCGACAGCTCAGTTGAAAGTCCGTTCTCCAGACATGCTCGTGGTTCAGAGCTTGCGCACTTTGACAAAGTGCTCTGAATAAAGATCACAATTTTCAAATGCGCGTCTCAGTAACTACCTGACATCGCCGCATTGTCATTTGGAATGCATCACACACTTGTTGGATTGCAGAGATGCATTAAGCGACTAGACTCATTTTCCCGACACGGGCTAAGGAGCCAAAGA